TACTTTTATTTTATTAAATAATAATGATATATAAATATACAAATATAGAAGTCTTATTAGAAAGGGTATTCAATTATCTATATATTTTAATGAGGATAACGAACTAAAAATAACAAATTAAATTCAAAAAAAAGTAAAATTTAAAATGTTAATTGAATAAGGAGAACCTAAGATTATAGTAGCAGTTCGTAAGAGACCATTAAATAAGAAAGAGATGAATAAGGGCGATATAGATATTGTCGATGTTTCTAATTAATAAAGTTAAGTTGTTGTCAAAGAATAAAGGTATTGATTATTTGATGGATCATTATAGAACAAAAGTTGATTTGACTAAATATATAGAGGAGCATTAATTTAATTTTGATGCTGCATTTGATGAAAATACAACAAATGAGCAACTATATTTATAAATAGTGAGACCAATTGTTGAAGCTGCATTTAATAAGGCAAAAGTAACATGTTTTGCATATGGATAAACAGGATCTGGTAAAACATATACAATGCTTGGTGATTATTCAGAAAGAGTGCCTGGTTTATATTTATTAGCCGCTTATGACATTTTTTGTTTATTAAACAATGAATGTTATGGCCATCTCTAAATATCTATATCATTTTATGAAATCTATTGTGGGAAACTCTTTGATTTATTAAATGAACGAACATTATTACATGCAAGAGAAGATGCAAAAGGAAATGTTAATGTAGTAGGATTATAAGAAAGGAAAGTACAATCTGTAGAATAACTTATGAAAGTAATAGAATAAGGTAGTGCATCAAGAATTACAGCATCAAATTCATCAAATAATGATTCATCAAGATCTCATGCAATATTATAGATAACTTTAAAAGATGGTAATAAATGTCATGGAAAATTATCATTCATTGATTTAGCTGGTAGTGAAAGAGGTGCAGATGTAAGTGACACTAATAAATAAACTAGATTTGATGGTGCTGAAATTAATAAATCATTATTAGCATTAAAAGAATGTATTAGAGCATTAGATTTAAATAAAAACCATACTCCTTTTAGAGGATCTAAATTAACTTTAGTATTAAAAGATTCTTTTGTTGGTAATTGTAAGACTGTTATGATTGGTAATTTCTCACCTTCTAATTCATCATCTGAACATACATTAAATACATTAAGATATGCAGATAGAGTGAAAGAATTAAAAAAACCTAATGATAAAGATTTAAAAGATTAAGTTACATCTTTAGATAAATTAGCTAGAGAATTAATGTTACCAAGATAATAATAACCTGTTAAAAAATAAACATAAGTTTAATAATAATTTAATCCTTTTAAGAATAATCCATTATAAAATTATTAGAATTAAAATCTATTTTAATAATAATAATAACCTTAATTTTTAAATTTATAAAATTCTATTCCTGGAATGATGATTCCATAATAATAATAATAATAATATTCATATCAAAATTATATTTAACCTCCTCCTCCATAACCTTAACCTATGATTCCCTTATAATAATAATAATAACCATAATTCAAAACTAATGAAACTAAAAATAAATATTCCTTTTAAAAACCAACTCCATAATTAAATGAACCTCGTCCCTATGTAAATGAAAATGTATTTCCAGGACCAATTGAACGTAAATCAAGTAATTTATATTAAAATATTTTTAAGAAGTAAATCAATCAATGGAAGATGATTTAATGAAAATAGGATAAAAACATGAATAATTAATTAGTGTAATATTGGAAGAAGAAGAGAATTTGATATCTAATCATAGATCCCATATAGATTCTATGGTTGAATTAGTTAAATAAGTATTATTTATATGTAATTATTTTAGGAAATGATGTTATTACATAATATTGATAAACCAGGATCTGATGTGGATGAATATGTTAAAGGATTAGATTAGATATTGTTGACAAAGATAGAAGAAATTTAAACGTAAAATTATTTTATTAAATTTAATAGATTACAATTTTAATTGTAGACTTTCAGATCACATTTGTCAGAAGAAGAAACTCTTTAGAAATAATTTTATTAATAAAGATAACAAATGACATAATAAGAATCTGAAGGCTCTGATATTTTTAAATGACAATTAAATAATTCATAATATAATTAATTATTATGCATTTATTAAATCATTATTCAAAAAATGGATGTTTTAAAGCATCTTCAACTTTAATTCTCTTTTAAGGATCTAATTCTAATAACTAAGTAAGTAAATCTTCTGCTTTATCATCAAATCCTTCTACATGAATTACATTTCTCCAATTAATTGGAGATTTAGCAACAACAGATGGCAAATTTAAATAATATCCTATAAATAAGTATAATAAATATTATATTACCAAATTTATTACAAATTTTAGTAATTGCCTCAGCTCCAAATAGTGATGTCAATTCTAAAATAAAATTTACATAAAATAAATTTTTAGAAACTGCAGGTTTATGAACCATTCTTACATTACTAAATAGATTGTATTTCCTTGTTAGAAATTATAAAAATATCACTCCTACAGCCCATATATCAACTTCATAAGATTATTCTTGATAATGTAAAATAGATTCTAATGGCATAAAACTTTCAGTGCCTATTTTATTATGTCCAATCTATGAGATTGTTTTCATAATATCTTCATACAATTACTTTTTTTGTCTTAATTCTAATATATTTCCACCATTCTCTAACATATTATTGACAAATGATTTATCTATTTCTGACAATCCATAATCAATCAGTATGCCTTTTTTAATTTTTGGATTATAAAGGAAATTACCAGGTTTGACATCTCTATGATATATTCCATTTTATTTCAATACTAATAGAGCCTTTAATAATTCTCGTAAATAGTCTCTAATTTACTACATGTTGAAAGTAGAAAAAAATGTAATAAATGGATCAAAACTAAAATAATCTGTTACTATGTAAATTTTTTAGTTTGTTAGGAATAAATTCACTAATTAAGGCAAGTTCTCCTTTCCTTAAACTAATTTTAAGAATCCAATTTCTGCAAATATCAATTCTGGTGATACTGTTGAAAAATTCACTTTAATTGCATACTTCTTTGTTTTATCTTCTTATCCATTATGGTATGCATATCTAAAATATAATCAAACATACCCTTTATAAACTACACCATATCCTCCTCTTCCCAATTCTCGAACAACTTTGTAATTATTTCGAAGATAAGCATCCTCATCTATTAATAAATCAGGATAATATCGATCATTAGAATTTTAATTTATCTTGTTCTATTTGTCATTTGTCTTAGCCTTTGCTTTGGCTTACACTTATTATTTTTTCATTAATAAAATTACACAATATAATGTCAGATTAAGAATATGATTATGATTACGATTATGATCAAAATTAGATTGATTAAGAAGAAGATCAAGATGAAATAGAATTAGAAAATAATTTTAATAGAGCAGAAGATGAATGGAAACTTAATCCAGATTTAGCATATTAACTCTTTAATGAAGTAATAGAAAAAGAGAAGTCTAAAGATATTAATTCAAGAAAATGGAGTTTTAAGAGTTATCAAGTATTAAATTTATAACTTATATGATAGTTTTTGATCTAGATATTGATTTAAAAATCTAAATTTCAAGACAATCTAATATTTTAATATATTTAAGGATTTTTAGAATTATTAGATAGATAATATAAGACTGAAGGAGATAAAGCACTTAAGATTGTAGTTGATTCATTGATGAATTCAAATAATTCTCATCTTATATCTACAGTTCTACCAAATTTACTCGATAAATTAAAATATATGAATTAAATAGGAATATATTGTGGAGCTAGTATGAAATTATGCAAAGATTATTATTAAAAAGGAAATTATAATAAATTAGAAGAAATTATAAATGTATTATTTTTATTTTATACTCAAGAATATTTAAACTGTTTTGGATAATAGTCAAATACAAGATGAAGATAGAAAAAAAGCATTTCTATCTGAATTATTGGCTTATAGAGTTCTATTGTACAATAGTACAAATCGTCAAGAATAAATCAAACCACTTTATAGATAATTATTAAAATCTAATCTAGATTTGCTTGAACCTTATGTATTTATCAATTATAACCTAGATATCTGGAGTTATTAATCTAACAATTGGTTAATAAAAGGCTCTAGAAAGACAATATGAATAAAGTAGAAAGAAATTCATGGAGGCTTTCTATAGTTTTTTAGATGCATGTTCACCAGAAGCTAAATAGGCACTTATTTATGCATCTGTTGTTAGTATACTTGAAAACTTTAAAATGAATTTGTTCGATGACATGAAGAGTAAGGTTTATGAATAAGATCAAAATGTTAAAGTATTTTAAGATTTAAGAATATCTTATGAATAATAAAATGTATAGAATTTCAGTAACATTATTAATTCTGAAGTAAAAATATTTTCTATTTTATAGTACTTTTAAAATGATATATTTTTAGCATTGTTGAAACCTTATATGTAATAAATAATTGTTGAAGTCAAAATATTAAGATATATTAAATGTTATTCAACAATTAAATTAGATTATTTATCCAAATAATTATTGATTGAAATTCCTGTTTTAAAAAAATACATTTAAGGATTGATAACCAAAAAATAATTTAATGGATTAATTGATGAAATAGAAGGATATTTAGAAATTAGAAGAGAAGTTGCAGAAACTCAAACAAAGGCCTTAAAAATCATTGTTGATCAAATCAAAATATTTGATTACTGATTCTATTTTTATGAAGAATTAAATTAATATTTATAATACTTTAAGTTAAGTATAATTTGAAAACTAATCTTATTATATATGTTAACTTTAAATTTCTATCCTTTTTATTTAATTTAAAGCAGTAATTAATGATAAAACAATTTGGCAATATAATTACACTTAAAGTTAAAATCATAATAAATAAAATTGAAACTATATTATTATAAAAATATGAGAAATATTATACTATAAATAAGTCATTATTATTATTAATATACTTTTCTAGNATTGTAGTTGATTCATTGATGAATTCAAATAATTCTCATCTTATATCTACAGTTCTACCAAATTTACTCGATAAATTAAAATATATGAATTAAATAGGAATATATTGTGGAGCTAGTATGAAATTATGCAAAGATTATTATTAAAAAGGAAATTATAATAAATTAGAAGAAATTATAAATGTATTATTTTTATTTTATACTCAAGAATATTTAAACTGTTTTGGATAATAGTCAAATACAAGATGAAGATAGAAAAAAAGCATTTCTATCTGAATTATTGGCTTATAGAGTTCTATTGTACAATAGTACAAATCGTCAAGAATAAATCAAACCACTTTATAGATAATTATTAAAATCTAATCTAGATTTGCTTGAACCTTATGTATTTATCAATTATAACCTAGATATCTGGAGTTATTAATCTAACAATTGGTTAATAAAAGGCTCTAGAAAGACAATATGAATAAAGTAGAAAGAAATTCATGGAGGCTTTCTATAGTTTTTTAGATGCATGTTCACCAGAAGCTAAATAGGCACTTATTTATGCATCTGTTGTTAGTATACTTGAAAACTTTAAAATGAATTTGTTCGATGACATGAAGAGTAAGGTTTATGAATAAGATCAAAATGTTAAAGTATTTTAAGATTTAAGAATATCTTATGAATAATAAAATGTATAGAATTTCAGTAACATTATTAATTCTGAAGTAAAAATATTTTCTATTTTATAGTACTTTTAAAATGATATATTTTTAGCATTGTTGAAACCTTATATGTAATAAATAATTGTTGAAGTCAAAATATTAAGATATATTAAATGTTATTCAACAATTAAATTAGATTATTTATCCAAATAATTATTGATTGAAATTCCTGTTTTAAAAAAATACATTTAAGGATTGATAACCAAAAAATAATTTAATGGATTAATTGATGAAATAGAAGGATATTTAGAAATTAGAAGAGAAGTTGCAGAAACTCAAACAAAGGCCTTAAAAATCATTGTTGATCAAATCAAAATATTTGATTACTGATTCTATTTTTATGAAGAATTAAATTAATATTTATAATACTTTAAGTTAAGTATAATTTGAAAACTAATCTTATTATATATGTTAACTTTAAATTTCTATCCTTTTTATTTAATTTAAAGCAGTAATTAATGATAAAACAATTTGGCAATATAATTACACTTAAAGTTAAAATCATAATAAATAAAATTGAAACTATATTATTATAAAAATATGAGAAATATTATACTATAAATAAGTCATTATTATTATTAATATACTTTTCTAGATTGAATAGAATGTTATTAGATTTCCATTAGAATTAAAAGAAAGTATTTAAATTGTGATCAGATATGAATTAAGATTTTATACTAAAATCCTCTAAATAATTTACACTTAAGTGTTTTTGAAAAATAATGTCATTAATTAAATGATCAGATTTGTTTCTGTATAAATAAAACCCTATCAAAATTAAAACAACCTTGATATTCTTGTTGATAACAATGTTTACTAATAATATTTTAATGTTGGTCAAAACTTAGTAATAGAAGCAGAATTCAGAAATACAATAATATAAGAAATCAATTTACGTATATTATTATAATATAAATGAAGATATATTTCCTGATCCTGAGAAGGAAATCTTATTCAAATGTTACAATTTAAATGAATTAGATTAAGAATATAAGAGAATTAGTGGAAAATTAATTAAAATAAGAAATGAAGGAAATTATATTATTTATGCTGCATTAATTAAATCAGAAGTGGTAATTATTATAAATCATCATAGCCATTTACTAGAATGACTATAACAATATAAGCAGAGAATAAAGATTCTTTTAAAATATACTATTTTGGTGTAAAAGGAAAGAACATAGAAGAAGAATTAGATTAATAAGAAAATAAAGAATAAATGGAAAAAAAAACACTTAAAATGATATTGAAACCAGGAAGGAAGATAGAGAATTTAAATACTAAAATGTTAGATAATACAAAAATGACTGCTTTGGAATTCTTTAATCGTGTTAATAGTGTAAAATAAATAAAAAATGTGGAATAATAATCTAACTTTTAGAATAATAAGATGAAAATTGAAGAATCTTAATAAAATGAAAGTTTTATTGTAAAAATGTAGGAGGAAGTAAAAGTTAAAGAAGATCTTGAAGATTAATAATATATTATTTTATAAGATGATGATGAAAACTCCGTTGAATTGATAGATGAGAAAATAAAAATATAATAAATAGAAAAGAATTATTTTAATAAATAGAAGTGTATCTTAACAAATATTAAACCAAATTTTAATAATTAAGTGAAGATAAATTCTTAAAATAGATAAATTATAAACAAAGATAGTAAGATAGAGTATAATGTATTTCATAATATGATTAAATATACAGCATAAGAAATTGATTAATAATTTCTTCAATTTCATAAGACAAGTAAATATATTAATAAATATTTAATTAGTTGAGGAAAGTAAGAATGTTAATGGAAAAAATAGATTAATACACAGATTAAATACATTATAATACTGATTTTTATATTAATATTGTATCATAAATCATCCTTTTTAATTTAACATTTTTGTATTTAAAATTGATAATCTAATTCTTTCCAATTTCTTTTCTTTTATTTAATAAATTTATCTATATTAATAAAATTAAATTAATCTTTCATTATTTAATATTTATAATTATTTGCATCATATAAAATTAAAGATGGTATTTATAATTTATATTTCTAAATTAAGAGTTATTAACAATCTTCATATAAAATAATCCATATTTATTTATTATTATTAATAGTTTTCATAGATTTAATGAAGACATCTTCATCTACTTAATTGTTTCTGTCAATTATTGTAATAATACATTTAACTTATTCTTGAGTACAAAGGAATTCAAATTCTTTATTATTTTAAGGATATTATTAATTTTGTTTATTTTTTATTTAATGTCTTTAGTATAATTTATCAATATATTCTTCTATATTTTAATAATTAAAACTTTCAGTATAATCTATTTAAGCAATTTAACCTTCATTAATTTCTAAACTAGTTATAAAAGGTACTTTTTCAACAGTAAATTATTTTTTAATTTAATCATCTGGATCATATATGATATTAAATTAAAAAATATTTTTATATTCTTATTTATTAGCAAATGTTAATGCCCATAATAAATGACATTTATTATAATTTTTTTTATTAAAAAACCATACATTCACAATTTATTTAGTTGTAATTAATGATTTAATATCTTAAAGTAATTAAAGAGAATCTGTATTAACATTATATTTTAAAAAGTCAATCATTTCTACACATAATTCTAAAGTATTTTAATTATTAATATATATTGGATTCTTTTTTGATGAAAAAGGATAAATTAATAATTATTATTAACTAGAATTATCCATTATATTATATACACTAAATATACCTTTCATATCTGAAATAACATTATTCAATCTTTAATGATTATTAATAGAAAGTAAGATCCATTAATTATCAAAATTTATATTTTAAATTGAAGTTATATTTTTTATTAAAGTTGGATTGATATTTCTAGATGAATCCAAAGTCTTAAAAATCCTTTAGGTCTTAGAATATTTAAATAAATTATACACTTGCAAAAACTGATAAATATGCTCTCAAACTTTCATATTGTTTAGCACCATTGTAAGTTTGTTCAACATATTATCCATTAATTAATTTTAGAATAACTAGATCATTATTCAATAATCTAGGATTAACAATAGCAAACTAATAAAATACATAAATTCTACATCTATTCTATCTCTGAATTTTTAAGTGATACCATACCACCAAATAGGTTTAGTTGCTATTCTAGTTAATACTTTGTTTAATCTTTTATCATTTAAGAATTATTCATATTATTGTTCATCATTAATCAATTCCCAAAATTATGGACTATTTTCTAAGAATCCTTCCTTTAGTGCTGGTAATGAAAAATTAGTTATTAATTTTTAGACTGGTTAAATTGGACCTTTTGTGGGATCAGAATCAGCAGGTGGTATCAAATACATAGCAAATGGTAAACTTTCTTTATATTAACAAGCAGGCAAATGATTTAATTCTTCTTTAGAAATTTGATCACAATTAATTATTTGGATCTGTTTAACTGTAGAATTTGTATTATTACATTAAGTATATCCATCATAGTAGTTGAATGTTATTCTAAGATTTTCAAAGCTTTGTTTGATTCTTCTGAATCTTCTTTAATAAACATCATTAAAGATAAATGATCTGGATCATCTTGAATGGTTTTTAAAGCTTACTGATATGTGGTTGGTATAATTGCTTTGATATTAACAATTAAAAGTATCAAAAACATATTTTAATATTTGTATATTGATAAAAATTAAACTTGATTAATTTGTTAATAATTTTTTTAAATATAATGGAAGAAGAAGAAACTCAAAATTTATAATTAAGGGATTCAGATGATGAAGAGAATCTAATTCCTTAATTTAAAATTATGTCATTAAGAGATGGAAATCATATAAAGGTTTAATTGCAATCTAACAATAGTAATAATAAATCAGATATTAGACTATAATAATAATAAAATATTATTGAATAGAATAATGTGACTAACTATTATTAATAAATTAACTCTTTCCTTTATGATATAAGAAAAGAATATTTAGAAAAATTGGAAAAATAGAAAAATTAGATAATAGAAGAATGATAATAATAATAATAATAACAATATATATATATAATAATTATATAAATGAACTGTAATACATATTTTCTAGAGAGTAATATTTTACTATTATTTAAAGGACCTAAAATTAAGTTAAATAAAATAAATCAACCATAATGTACACCAAAAAAGTAGTGTGATTTTTCAGTTTAAAAATATATAAAAACTTAACCAGATGAAAGAACAACTACAAATAATTTATCTAGAAGATTGGATTCAAGTTAAGATACAAATATGGTAATTATATATTTTAATGAATAGATTCTTGAATAACGACTACATTGGATAGATTAATTAGCTGAATCTCTAAAATCTAATCAATCTTTTGAAGTTGCAAAGATACTTTAAAGTTTATAATAAATGGCTGTAACATTAAAATAAGCTTCAAAAAATGAAATTGAATTGAATCAAAAAAATAAGTTATTAAATAAAAGTACTTTAGAAACTATTTCATAAAAATAAATTATTTAATAACTTAAAGAATAATAAGTATAATTAATATAATAATTTATAGAATCATTTTAAATAAGATAATTTAGATTAATCTAAGAAATTACATTTAACTTAAATGGAATAATAAAAATTATAAAGAGATTATCTTTATTAAAAATAATTATGTGAAGAATATTATAAGAAAGTTCGTAGTCTTGAAAAAAGAATAGAGATGATTTTAGAAAAGAATTTATCTACTCATCAAGATGAATTAAGAATGACATTATCAGAATTAGTTAAGGATAATGAATAATTAAAACGTAATGTTATCAAAAGAGAAAAAGAAATTGAGAGATTAAAAGAATTAAATTAAAAATTAATTTAATAAAATAATAGATTATCTAAAAAATTGGATAATTTAAAAACTAAAAGAGTAGGAGCTAAATCAGATAATATTGTATTTGAAGAAAATTATATAAATAATTATGTTTTTGATCCAAATTAATTACCTTAAAGTTTAGAATTTAGATTAAGTTAATTAACTTCTGAATAAAATGATTTTTTAATAGATTTAATTGAACATGGTGCTGATGTATTCACAAATTAAGTTATATAATTAGAAAATATGTAATAAAGAAAAGATTTAATTAATTTAATTGCAAGTAATTATTTATAATTATAAAGATTAATTTATAAGTTAAAGAGAATTTAGTGAAAAAATTAATTAAATTATGAATGAATTCATTACATTAATAAGTTATAGAAATATTAAAGATTTCTAAATACATGTAAGTAAAGGATTTAAAATGATATTTTAAACTGAAACTGTTCATTTATGGATAATAGATGGTATGACATGTAAAGCTTACACTCATGATGCTAATGGATAATAATAAGTAGCATTATTGACAGAAGGTGTATTCTAAAAAATTGTTTATGAAAATTTTGGAATCAAAAGTCCTTCTAAAGAATAATAACTTTTATATATAACTGAAGGATCTAAAGTTTATGGTAAGAATTTTTTATTATTACCAATAATGATGAATACAAAAAAACCATGTGGTTTATTAGAAGTATAAATATTTATATCTATTATAGATATAAAATATTAATGATGAGATGATAATAGATATGTAATACTATGGATTATTAGTAAATATGTTAAGTAAATCAGTTATAACAAGTATTCTTAGTTATGATGCATTATATAAGGAATTAAAATATCAAGATTTATTTTATTCTTCATTTTTAAAATTAAGTTAATCTACTAATTTTGAAGATTTTGAAATGAAAATCTAAGATTCTGCTTATAGTATATTTTAAATAGCATAAACTACTTTAATACATGTTGAAAATAATCAATTCAAAAAAAAAGGATAATATTATGATATTAGATCAGGATGTGCATATTAAGTGTATAAATCACAAAGACCATAAATTCTAACTTCGATTACAAAACATTTAAATTTTGATGAGAATATTGACATATCATCAATATTACCTGTATTTGCAGGTCCAATAATTAAAGATAATTAAGTAGTTGCAATTTTGTAATTTATTTTGAAAAAAAAGAAACTTCAAGATCAACATCCATTTGGATTATAAATTTAAATAGGATTTAAAGTAAACTCAATTGATGAAGATGCTTAAAAATTTTATGATCTTGTAAGCAAAGCTTATTGCATTGCTTTTAGAAAATGAATAAATATAGAATATATAAAAATAGTGTTTTTTTTAATGATTATAAATAAATAAGTCAAATATTATTTATTTTATAAAATCTTTGAATATCTAATTAAAATTCTCTTATTAATTACTATGGTTATTCATGTATTTATTTTCTTATATATGTCAAATGAATTCCTATAGTATGAAAAGTTATTTCTTCCCTTTTATAATATATTAATTATATATACTTCTTAAGAATTTTTGTTAATAAATGAAAACCAGCAAAGTATAATTTATTTACAATACTGATAACAGAATCTTCTTAATTAATAAGTTAATTCAATTTATTATCTTTAAGACTAACTAAAACAAATGTTGTAATATTTATTAGAGTAATACTAAATGGTATTTTAATATCTTGAAAAATCTTGAGTGCTTACTTTATATATATTTTATATTCTGATATGAAAGCAAGCATTTATAATAATCCAAAAATACCAGCTCCTCTAAGATCAGTAGTTGGATCTGCACCCTAAAATCCAATCATTTCCCAATGAGATCCATATCTTAAACAATAGTCAGTAGACATAAATTGGCAATATATTGTATAAAGAATTCTAAAATGAGATTCATTATTATCATCAAATGATAATTACGACATTAAGCAAACCTTATATAGAATTATAGTACTTAGTTTTTTTCTTAAATTAGTCTATTACTTTTCAAATTTATACTGAAACATCCAAATAATTTATCTAAAAAAGATGTCTTTTTTTAGATAAATTAAATCTAGTCTTTAATATCTTAAGAACCTTTTAATTCATCATAAGCTTCAATAAAATTAATCTATTTGATTTCATTTTTCTTCTTTTCTAAATCAATTATTCTCTCTTTATTAGCTTATTCGAATTCTTCTTCAATTTTACCAATACTTCTTTCTGACAATCTAAAAACTTTTTTATCTGGACTTTCTTCTCCTTTATCAATATGTGGTTTCTCATTTTCATCATCACTAAATTAACATTATTATTTAATTGATGTCTCATTATTTTTTTAATTATTCTATAATGCTATGGTTTTTGCTTTGTCTTTAAGATTATTTAATAAATGTCCATTTCTTTAATTTATATTAGTTCCTTTCTTATTTAATTTTTAATTAATTTTTTATCTAGCCTATTCAACATGATCATTTGATTATTAAAAGACCTATTTATTATCAATATCAAAATCATCATCATCTTTTGCTTAAGCAGCTGATATTCCAGCCCATTCTGCTACTTCTCCCATTTCATCATCGTTATCAATAATATTATGTATATTTCTCTTTTTTTAAATGGCTCTTTAATTTGCAATCATTATAATAAATAATGAATTAATAAGTAAAAGAACCACTTAATCCAGCAGTTTGTGAAGTATTTTAAAAACTCTTATCTGATGTATTCATTAAGAAGATATGGAAAGTATGAATTATATATAAAAATAGGAATTTAGAGAATCAGGTAACTTATCAGAAGGTAAAATGACAAAATCTAACTTCACTAAAGAAATGTTAAAATAACTTAAATTACATGTTAAAAGTAGAGAATATAGTTATATTTCATCTTAATTCTTTTTAATTTTGGCACCTGAAGAATTCACAAGATATTAAAATAAAATGAAGAATGATTTTGAAGCAATTGTTGAAAGATCTTGTGCTGAATCATATAGATTTGATCCAGATACATAATTGGTTAGAGAACCTGCTTAAAGAAGAGATAATTAATCAGAAAAACATTAACCACCAGATTAAGCATTTGAAAATTGGTTTAAGTAGAATTATGATTAATAATTTCTTAAATGGTTTGGAACTAATTATAATTCAGATAAAAAAAAGATGAAGATATCTGCTTTGGATAGTTTATTTGAAAGATGGTTTAGATCAAATAATGTATAACCAATATTTGAAAAAGCATAATAAGAGAAATCTTAATAAGAGAAAACATATTTTGAAATTTGGGTTGGTAAAAAATTTGAAACATTATTTGAAAAGTTATTTGAAAGTAAATATCTAATAATTATTATATAGGATTTTAATTAGAATTTGATGATAAAATTGAAATATAAGATTTAGTATTATCTCTTGGAGTGTTAGCAAGAATGGAATTAGAAAAAAAATTAGAATTGATATTTGATTTAAGTGATGTTGATGAAGATGGATGTTTATCTATTGATGATATATAATAAATGATTAAAAGAATAGAAAAGAATTTTACAAGAGAAACTTCACTTATTACTAGTGATTCATAAGCATTATAAAATGAATTGGCATTTAAAAGAGCTATGAGAAAGTTTTCTTGGGCAACTATTAAAATGGATAAATAAATTGAAATTAAAAATGATGAATTAGGTTTAATAGAAGGTAAGAAATTTTTAGATTCTCTTAAATAAAATAAAATGTTATTTGAAACTTTTTTACCTGGTTAATTATTATTATATGATGTTTTAATGACAGATTAAGGAGAAAAAGAGTTTTAAATATAAGAAATTGATAATAAAATTTTAGATGAAAATTAATAATTCTTTAAATAAGAACCTAAAAGAGAAGAACCTAAAAAAGAAGATACTAAAAAAGAAGAGTAGGTTGGATAATTTGAATTATTTAGAAAAGAAATACATGCATAATTAAGAAATAATTATAAAGATAAGTAAATAATAATATTAATTATATAGATTATCTAAATAATATTTATAAGAACATAAAGGTTAAGTTAGATATCCAGGTAAAATGGAAGTTGTTTAAGTTGGTAACTAAGCAAAAAGAGTTCCTAAATTAGAAAAATTTGAAGAGAAAAAAGAAGCTAAAAAGGAAAAAGAAGATACATAATAAAATCAATAAAAATAAAATAATATCGAATCTCATGGTATTAATAATATATTTATAATTAGAAAAAAGATTGAAGGACATGAGAGAACAAAGATAGTAATGGAATATAGAGAGTATATTAAAAGATTACAAAGCTGTATGAATTATTATTATTTTATTCTTATATATATTAATATTTATAATATTTTTTAGATCTCAACCCTTAATAATGTTAATCTATGAAATTAAATAAGAATGTTAGAAATTTTATTTAAAACAATTATTATGTTCATAAATCCATATAAATTTTTATATAATTATGTAAACTTAGATGCGTGCAGTTGTTTTGGAAGGCCCAGGTTAAGAACCTGTAGTCAAAGAAATTCCAATCCCTACTCCATAATCAGGCTAAGTCTTAATTAAAGTAGACTCTGCCCCTATCAATCCTTCTGATATAGCTTTTTTACATGGGGCTTATTCAAGTGGTAAACAATTTCCATGTGTTCCAGGATTCGAAGGTTCTGGGACTGTTATTGCTAATGGGTATAATTGAATGCAAATATTTAGAGGAGGAATTATGGGATGGAGATTAGTAGGAAAAAGAGTGGCTTTCTATTCATAATCTTAATTTGGAACATATGGTGAATATAGTGTAGCAGATGCTTTGGGTTGTTTAGAATTAGATAATGATATCACATTATAAGAGGCTTGTTGTTCATTTGTTAATCCATTGACTGTGATTTCAATGTTAGAAGTAGCAAAAGAACATAAAACTTAAGCTGTTGTTCATACAGCAGCTGCTTCTTAATTAGGCAGAATGATGATTAGACACTTTTAAGCTAATGGTGTTAGAGTTATAAATATAATAAGAAGAGATGCTTAAGTAGATATGTTGAAAAAGGAAGGAGCAGACATTATATTAAATTAATCAGATTCTGATTTCTTAGAAAAATTGAAAAATGTTACATAAACATTACGGTATTCATTCTAAATTACAAAAATAGTGCAACAGTCTTCTTTGATGCTTTAGGAGGAGAATTAACTGGTAAGATTCTTGAAGTCATGCCAAATCATTCTACTTGTTATGTATATGGAGGATTAAGTCTGAAACCAGTTGGTAATGTTTCTATAATGGATTTAATATTTAAAGATAAAAAAGTTATTGGGTTTTGGTTGACATAATATTTAAAAACAAAAAATATTATTAGTTAAGCTTTATTATTGAAATAATTAAAAGGATTACTTAAAACTAATCTTAAAACTATTGTGGCTAAAACAGTTAATGTTTCTGATTTCAAAGAAGGTTTAGAATATTATAAGAAAAACATGAGTGAAGGAAAAGTATTAATCAAATTCGATTAAGGCTAATAATAACCATTATAATAAAATTGAAAATATAATATAAATTATTATATAATCTTATTTATTGATTATATGAATGAATATATAATAATAATTGAAAATAAAAATTTTTATTCAATTTATAAATGATTATTAATAAATATTTTATTTCAAAATAATGAGAGTAGAATTACATTTATGAAATTCCATTCTATTATTTAAGAATTGGTTATAAATACTCTCTTTTTCTTCAATTGTATCCTTTAATTGTAATTCATAATATTATTCCTAAGTTTTATCTAGTTAACTCTATTTATCTTACAATATTCTAAGCAATTCGTAATTAGAAAATTTCTAAAATAATAAAATAGTTTTTAATTTACATTAATAATTGTACTACATTAAGTATTTAATATTGTTGCATTCTATTAGATCTCTTGAAATTTATTATAAACAATTTTCAAATCCTGCTTAAGTTTCTCTATTTCAATATAATTTTATTGAACTTTTTCTAATTAATTATTAAGTATTTAATACCTGAAAGGTCTTAATTATTAATTGCCTTTTGTTTCATTATTTATAATAGATCTCTTTTAATTTATACTTCTAATATTTTATTAAACATACTTATTTCCTAATTATTGAAATCATTTAGAGGAACAGGTAACTATTAAGTTGATTACTAAATTTATTGTTAAATCCATATATCTGGTTATGGAGGATTTTGAGTGAATTGAATTAAAATTGAATTTAGTGTGTTCAAAATTGTATTTTCATTTTGTATTTTGATCTGCCAAGTTTCTTCATCAATAAAAGGATTCTTTTCAAATTTTTATAAAACAAAATACTTTGGATTTCTTTTTGGATAATTATAATTGAATAATCTAATAATAATATGAATAAATGATTACATTGATATTTCTATATTTTCTAATAATCTGCATAAATATTCTTATTATTTCAAAGTAGTTCTTATATCAGAATCAATTTTAGATATTCCAAAGAATTTTGAAGCTTCTTCGATTTCATTCTAAATAATTTTATTTAAGAATACTTAAATTTTTTATTCTATAATAGTTGATTAATTCTAAATTGCTTCTACATGTTATATTGAACTTTCGACAAACATGTTGTTTCTAAAATTAATATATTTCTATTATATAATAATTTTAATAATCAGAACTCATCATTAATTATTAGAGTACTTTTAAATCTATTAATAATTAATCATATCTTCAATACCTATTTTACTAAAAAATTCTTTTTATGTTAACTTCAATTGAAGATTTATATTACAAAGAATATGCAATAATAATATATTATGGAATGTTGATTGTAGTTCAATTAAATGAATATATTAATTTGTTAATTTATAAAGTTTTAATATATAAAAAATTTCATAAATAATAAAATTACATATATTTTGATTTACCTAGAGATATCCTGAAATAATCTAAAAATTACATATAAAAATATTGCATTAAAATCAAAATTTTCATTATTCAAAACTTAACCTATATTTTTGATCTAATAAATCAAAAATAATTTTTGAAATTATTATTTTATGCATATAAATAATGAATTATTATGATAATTGGGATTTTTCAAATAAAATAATTGAATATATTTCAAATTAACTATAAAAAATTGAAAATATTATTGATAATTCTTAGTAGAATATATTTATATATATATATAAAATAATATATCAAAATTACCATAGTTATTATTTAATAAATGGAAAATAAATACATTGCTTGGATTGTTCTCCTTATTTTGTTAACAGTCTTTGTTTTAATGATCTGCTATAAATTTTGGACATTTCTGACAATTATAAACAACAAACATCAATTTAAGAATAATATTAGAAGTTTCAGTCTTAAGATATATGAGTAAACTATTATCTTAAGAAACGAATAGTATTTTCAAATGAGGTCGACTAAGAATGAAATAACATATTTTGAATAGAATAAGGAATAAAAAGTAGTATATAAATTTTAAATTGATTAAAATACGAATTGCAATTTTTTTAAATATCTAGAATATAAGGTATTATGTAATGTGGGGGGCTAATAAGAAATGGAGAGAAAAAAAAAATAATATTATCATTAATTAATTACTAAATAACAAATAGAGAAAGGGGATATAAGTGTTTTAGATGCATTTGTTTTGTATTTAAATTAAAAAAATTGGGAAGACTTTTTATCAACTGATTTCAAAAAAATAGAAATATTATTTGTGCCATCATATATTTTAGATGAGAATCAAATGTAGGATAAATCAATTTAATAAAAATACAATGAATTCTTATCTTGTTTTCAACCAATCGATTATAAAATAGATATTTTATTTAAAAAAATATTCTTCGTAACTACAAATATTAAAAATAAGAGTGTTATTTTAATTGAATTAGATTTTAAAAAAAAATCATTTTTAATTCATAGTACATAAAGATAAGAGGATTAACATAATTTTACTAATATATGTCATCAACTAAAATTCTTAATAAATACTGCTAATCAATAATAGTATGAATAGGGAATCCCAATAAATAATAATGATTAAATCGAATAGCATTCAATATGTGGGTAATGTAACTTAAAATAAGGAAAAACAAAAGAAATAGATTATTACGCCGGATGCTTGTTAGCTGATTAGTATAATTTCAGCACCGACGAATAAGAATTTGGATCAGTTGAAGAAATTAAGAGTTTTATAACAAATAATTTACTAGTTAACTGATTTAACAATTATTTATATCAATATTTATATTTAATAAAGGATTATGAAAATCTAGAATTTTTTCTATTTGTGAATAATGAAAATGTTTATATAATATTAGAAATTGTTTAATATTTATTTAATTTTTGGAATATAACAAATAAATATTAGAGATAATAATAATATATGAATTATATGTAAATATATTGAATTAGAAGGAATAAAAATAAGAAAATATATATTAAATATATATATTAATTATAAATTTGAAATATTATAAATGTTTATAACTTGGTTGTTTATACTAATATAGATAACAAATACAGAGAATTCATATTGTTAATGTGATAATGGAATAGAAAATGGATTATATTGTTTTTAGACAATATAAAATTGTTTAGATTGTGGGAATTATGTTGTGAATGAAAAAGATATATGTACAAGTGTAACAAGTTGTGATTAATCAATATAATAATAAAAAGATTGTAAAACATGTTTTGATAATTATTTATTATCAAATGGGAAATGTTGGTAAAAAATATTATATTGTGCAATATAATTAGATAGTATATGTTAAAAATGTTAAGATAAATATTTATTGAAAAACTAAGATGATAAAATTTAGATTTGTATTAATAGCAATGAAATATTGAATTGTAAATATTATTAATAAAATGGAAAATGTAATAAATGTGATAACAATTATCATGTATCTATAAATGCAACTTTATGTTATTAAGATATTAAATATTGTGAAATACATTAAGATGATAAATGTTAAAATTGTATTACTGGATATTCCAAACATACAAATTCTACATTTTGTTTTCCTGATATTTTGAATTGTTAAATTGGATCAACATTTTATATAGATGAAACATAAAAGACATATTGTAATAAATGTAATGATGGTTATTAATCTACTGAAAATAAATTATGTTCATTAGATGATAAGAATTGTCTATTATTTAATTAAGATTTAACAATATGTTTAAAATGCATTAATGATTATATATTAATTGGTAAAAAGTGTGAAAATTGTCCAATTAAATATTGTAGTACTTGTGGAGATTCATAAATCTTTAAGAAAATTTGTTCATAATGTTAAACAGGTTATGTAAAAGGATCAAATGCTTTATCCTGTATAGGTTAATGTGAAAGTTAAACTTCTACAATGACAAATTGTGTTACTTGTTCAAATTAAACATGTACAAAATGTTCAGATGGATATTTTATTAATCCTTAAGGAAAATGTACTTCTTGTTCTGCTAAATATGCAAGTTGTGAATTATGCATTATTAATAAATGTACAAGTTGTTCAAATAATTATTATTATGATAATAGTAAATAATATTGTTATTTATGTTCAACTTTCAATACTGGTTGTTAAACTTGTTTAAATACATTATCAACAGGTACCACTAATAATATTATATGTTAAAAATGTGAACCTGGATATATATTAACTAGTACATAATAATGTATGAAATGTGGTTAATTATTTGAAAATTGTGATACTTGCATTAATTTAGGAAATAGTTTTTAATGTAATACATGTTTACCAGGTTACTTAAAATTGACTGATACAACATAAGGTTCTGTTAATCCTATATTTTATTGTTTAGATTGTTCTGGATCTATTATTAATTTATTAAATTGTTATAAATGTGAATTATAATCTGATACTACAACAATCAATCAATATAATTGTAAATTATGTAAAGATGGCTATTATCTAGAAGAATAAAATTGTCTCTAATGTCCACCAACTTGTACACAATGTACTGCACTTAATACTTGTACAAAATGTTAAACTTCACTTATTCTATATAATGGTTAATGTACATCAGAAACAACTGGATTTTAATTAACATCTTCAACTAATTCAAATGATGCATTAGCTTATGGTAATATTCTTATCTCCAAATCAAGTCTTGGACCTTTTCCATTTATAGGTACACTCAATTCAAAAGGATTTTTCTGTTAAAGTGATAAATAATGCAATATGTATGGTAGATGTTTATTGATATCTTGTAAATGTATTTAAAATATTGCTGGAAGTAGATGTCAATTCACTATTACATCTGATTTTATTAAATTGCAAACTGAATTATTAACCTACTTAAATACCTAAACTATATTTGATCCAAATTTTGTTGAAATTATTTAATTGATATCAGATACAACTTATGCAGTCACAGAAAGCAACATTAAATCATTTTAGTAAGCTCTTGATAAATAAATAGCATTACATTTTGATCTAAAATACTTTACTGCCATTGGAGCTATTTCTAAAAACTTATTTTAATAAGAAAATATTGCTGCTTAGAAATTAGCTAATCTTGATAATTCATTATTTAATGCAATATTAAAATAATCAGAATCTATTATGATTTCTGAAATTTAAAATACTGCAGGACCATTTCATAAATAAATAATTGGAAAATTTGATTTATTTAGTGATGACTCATATTCCTCATTTAAATATAATTTTGTTAAATCATATGGTACTTGTGATAATGATAAAAAATTATTAAATCCATAAATTTATTTTACTGAAGAAAATCTTGCAGAAATAAAAATACTATAATCAGATGCATAAACTCCTCTTATTTTCAATTAAATGCATCTTTACTATTAAAATCATAGATCATCAGGTTAAACTATAAATTCTACTATATCTAGAATTTAATTAATAAAATCTGGAAAAATATTACCAGTAAGTGGAATGAATATGGTTATTGTTGTTCCAAAAAGTGATTAATATTATGCTGATTTAAATGAAAATAATGTTTGTGTATAATGGAATGAAGATAAATAAATTTGGGAAAATACTAAAGCTACATTATTAAAATGTAAATATTACACTGTTTGTTAAGTAAATAATTTAGGTGATTTTGGTACTTATGTTTAGATTATTAGAAATGTTACTACTAATTCATCTAGTTTATCTAGTATCTTTGAAATTCCATAAGGATTTAAATTTGTGAAAACTGTCTAAAATTGTGCTTTTGCTATTTCAATGACTTTAATAGGATTATTTTTATCATTTCTTACATTACTGTGCATTTTATATAAAAGACCAATTAAAAAAAAAAAGTCAAAGAAATACTCTGATATATATGAAACTGTATAAACTGGTAATACTTTAGTTTAAAATCCAATAAATTAAATTAAAATTAGAAAGAAATCAAGAAACTTTTGGAGTGTTTATCCAATTAATGCCATTTTTACAGCATCTTCTTTAGAATTCTCATTATAAAAGTTATCACTTTATATAATCTAAATTTAAATGTATGTAACATTCACATCTGTATATTTATCATCATTACCATTCAAATTTGGAATGTTAACTGCCTATTATTTATTAGTAATCATATAAACTTGGATATGTAATTATTTATATGGAGGATTGGCCTTAGCATTCAGAAAGAAAAGAAAAGGAAAAGTTTTGGGTTTCTATTGGATTTTATGGATAATTTTATTTTTTGGGAATATGATAATAGGAATATGGTAAATGTATGGATTGGAATTTAAGTTTGATATGTATTTATTGGTTGGTGTTTTAATAGAATTCATCTTAGATTCAATATTTTGTGATTTATTTTTAACATACTTATATTAGAGCTTATTTATAGATGAAGTAGTAGGAATATTTAAGATAATAAAGTTTAAAGGATATTATGAATAATGATATAAAAACTATATAATCAAATAATATTTATTAATTAACTTAGATCGTGGTTTCCATCAATCCAAGAATGATTGAGTACTTATTCATTTGTGTATCTATTTTCTGGATCAGGCGATATCATTTTTTCAAATAAATCTTAAAATAAGATGTCATTTTATTTATTATTTCTATTGGCTAATTTCCAAAAGATATTCCATTTTTTTTCATAAATAATCTGCCAATAAGGAGATATCAGAAAATGGAGGGAATCCATAATACAAAATAAATATTAGAACAGCCAGAGCAAAAATGTCACATTTTTTCAACAAATTTGATTGTATATATTTTTCCTAAATCCGTAATTCTGGTGACATATACTTCTGTGTTCCACAATTTTTGATATACTTTTTTTTATTATCTACAATATCAGCAAAACCAAAATCTATTAGGATGATTCGTAAGTAGTTGTCAAGCATGACATTTTATAATTTTATATCTCAATGAACATGATTAAGTTTGTGTAGATATTAGATAGTTTCACATAACTCTAATAGAATTTGCTTCACTGATCCGATTTCTAATTGAACTCCATTCTTGATGATCGTCAATAAATCAATCTTCAATTATTGACAGATAAAATAGTCGTAATGAGGATCATGATTAATAATCTTTAAGATGATTGGATGATCTAGACTTTTTAATATTTAAATTTCCTTCTGTCTCAATTTATCTGAAAACTTTAGTTTGTAAATCTTTATTACGCACTATTTGCCTTCATAATCACATAAATATAGATTGCTTGAAAAGCCATCTCCTATTTTCTACTTCAATTCTATCATATTAAACCCAATTATTAATTCTTACAAATTTTTAATTTTACAATTTTCATACAATAAATTGAATAACAAATCTTATATAATATAATCTGTTTATATATTTATTTTTAATTATTTATTTATATTTTATTATTTAAATTTCATCATTCTTCTTCCTAACCAAATTATTAATCTTCTTCATATTAAATTTTAACAATTTATTATTATTCAATTTATTATTTTTCATCCTTATTTTAATTCTAATTCTATTCTATTTTATTAAAATCGTCTTTAGACTGTTTTTTTTGATTCTTATTTACTTAACTTCGAGCTATTTTTCCTTTAGCTGCAGCCTAAATCTTAATAATATTTTGCACATCTTTATCATCCTAAATATTTTAATACTATATCATTACAAAACTAGTCAACTTTGGCAATTCTTCATTTTTTATCATTTTTATCATCTTAATCAATTTAGTCATCATGATCTATTTTTGGATTCTCATAATTATCAATATCTTTTGTGATCTTTTCAAAAAGATCATTCACATATTCTTTTGCAGCATTTTTCTCATCAGGATAACTTCCTTAAGAACTGGCATGAGAAATATTGTTTGGATTACCAGATCCCACTCTTTTTACTTATTGGCTATCAGGTCTGTTGTTTGATTTCTCTACTACTATTTTTGCTTTTTCAGTCATATCTGAAGGTTTAGGTGGCATGTGTACATATTACAATATTAAATTTATTTTATAATTCTAATTATCAATTTAAACACTAATTGTACTCTACCTGGAGCCTCTCCCTTAGCAATATTGTATTTGCTTTCAAATTTAAATTCCTTTCCTTATGCCATACTTTCAAAGTAATCTGCTCCATATTTTATTATATCATCTGGCTAATCTCTCAATACCTTTTTATTCACTAATCTATTTACTTCTCTTGTAAAATCATGTAATATTTAATGAAAACCTTCAGGTACTGGATATTTTTATAAGTATTTTGATGCCATTTGATAACTGTGTATAATTTATATTAATAATTATGTTTATTAGACCATCCATCCAGAATACTTTTAAATTATTTTATAATTATGTCTATTTAATTTTTCATTAATTATTTTTTTAATATTACATTTATTCAACCATTTTATATGTATATTCTTATCACATTACAAATCAAGAAATATTAATAATCATATTCAATTTAATCATTAATCCAGCCCTCCTAGCTCAGTTGGTCAGAGCGTTGGCCTTTTAAGCCAAATGTCAAGGGTTCGACCCCCTTGGAGGGCGGCTTTTTTTTATTTTTAAACAATTAATTAATTAAATAAATTAATAAATATAAAATCAAAATATATTTTATCAATAGCTCTAAATATAACCTAATTCTAATTATAATTTGAAGAAGTAAGATTAAAATTGGGAAGACATTTTGAATATAAATAGTTAAGGGGAAAACTATATAATAATTCATAAAACTATTTAAAAATAAATGAATTTTTTGGTGATTCTATGAATCTCAAAAAATTGTAAAAGACATCAGGATTGTAATAAATATTTAATTAAAAAATTTGATCAAAATATTAATTGATATAAGAGTATTATATACAAACACTATTTGATTTACAGAGATTAATATTTTAATTATTTTTATATCTATTTTTATGCGTCTTGGTTTGAAACTGAAAAAAGAGTCAAAACCCCCTTAAGAATAGCAATAAGAATAGGCAACCTAAGAATTCAAATTTGATTTCATTTTCTTCAATTCTAATTAATAATAACAATTTGACAATCAAGATTCAAAATAATTTAAGTTAATTATCTAAAAAAAGAATACTAATGAATAAATGATAATCCAGAAAGACTATGTTTATATTGGAGAAACCCAAAATAATAAAATGCATGGTAATGGTAAAATCTATATAAAATAATATGATGCATATTGCAATAACAATTATTTTGTATATGAAGGTTAATTTCAAAATGATTAAATTGATGGAAAAGGTACAGAATACTATGGAAAAACAAATAATAAAAAAGTAGATGGAATATTCTAAAAGTTGTCATTAATTGAAAAATTCTAAGAATACAATTAAGATGGAAGTATATTGATTAAATAACAAAATTTGCAATAGTCAATATTATAATAATCCTTTATTCAAGAAGACCGAAGTGCCAATAAAACTTTTCGAATAAAATCAGGAGTTAAACAAACACCACCTTAACCCTAATCATAAAAATCATAAGTTAAATAAAATGATAAATGGACAAAGTTCAATGTTGAATTGAGCAAAGACCATCTTTCATCTCTTTTGTCAGAAAAGGCTATAAATGATTCAATCATTGAAGCATATCTTAATTACATAAATTATATAGATTCCGAAAAGTATTTTAATCTAAAGTCATTGCCTGAAATTTAAGCATATAAAAGAGCTCTCATTATTCCTTATTTCTTATTCGAATAACAAAAATTAGATATACTCACTTATTTTGCTGAATTTTCTTATATTAAAGGATAATTTTGGTAAGTTTATAAATAAATATTTGCTATTGTTAATTCTAATGGTCATTGGATTCTTCTAGAATTAATTTTCGAAGGTTAAGATATAAAAATGAAAGTTTATGATAGTTGTTCTAAAAAAAAAGCAATATTTTATGTTACTATTTGCAAACATGTATGGAATATGATTGAACCAATAATCAAATTACATAATTTGACAATCTCTTGGAAATCTAAAGATATTATTGTAACTGAATGTCCTTAATTATCCTAACCAAACGATTCTGGTATTTTCATCTGTGCTTATTTAAAATATTTACTTTCTAATATTAGTTTAGATTAAATTACATAGGAAGTAATTAATAATGTAAGAAAAATAGAATTATTTAATATTGTTAAAAAGGAAAAATGAAATAAAATATTAAAATAATAGATTATGCTTCATTTCAACTATTTCTATTTAGAATTGTTTATTGTTTTTAATATTTTACTTAATGATTATTCCTTTTCATTTTTCACTTTTTCTGATAACAAAAGGTCTTTTTCCAAATTACTACCTTTGTTTTCATCCCTATTTATTGAATTGTTTCTTTAAGTTCCATTATTGGTGTTATTTTGTTTATTAAAACTATTTTATTTTGTATTACTTTTTCTTTTTTCTAATTTGATTTCTTAATCCTTTTACCAACTTACTTTATATCTATTAATTTCATCTTGAATCTAATTTACTATATCATTTTCCCTAATTCTTTTGCTCTCTCTTTCTATTTCCCATTTAATAGCATTTTCTTATTATTTCATTTTCTTAATTATTTATTTATTCTTCTCAATTTCTTATCTCATCAATGATTCCTTACTGTTTGATCTATATGATCTATTTAAAGATTATTGGCCCTCTATCATTTATTTAATTTATGATGTAGCTGATGGCTTATTTGTCTACAATTTTAATATTCTATCCAATCTTGATTACTATCTTTAATTTACAATATACTTTTTTAGTTTGAGCTTCAATTACACGCTTTTAATAGTCTTTAGATTTTGATGAAGAACGACTACAACTGAGATTTGATTATTGGCTTTTTGGTCTATTGATTTTACAATTACTTTGATGTAATTGTGATTAAGAGATATTAGTCTTATTACTAAATGACTTCTAAGATTATTATAGTTTATTCATTTTCTAAAACCCTTATGAACTTAATGATCTATTTCTTGAATTACTTTTTTTACACAATAATAGATTCTTAAACAAAGACTTTGCAATAGCTAACAACTAATCTAAAGTATCCTATATTAATTCAAATGTTCCATCATTTTATTCATCTTCACTTTATTATTGAATTTATTATAAAATCTGCATTGCTTTTTCTAAATTTTCAAAACGTACTCTTTTTTAAAATGTTTATGAATCATTAATAATTTCTAGAATCTCATTAGTATTTCGTAAACAACATTTTATTGATTACCAATCAGATTTTATTTAATTTCCTTGAATTGATGCTATTGTTCCACTTAATAATGTTACTAATGCATGAGTTATCTATATAACTTTTTAAGATGGTTTAATCATAAGTTTCAATTACTAATATATAAATTCTATATACATTAAGAAATTTGAAAGTGATTTTCTTGTTTTGGGTTTCTTATTACATTTCTGTTAATAATAGTTATTCTATAAATAATTAAAAATATTAAATAAATATGAATAAACTATCATAACAGCTTTTTGTATATCGCAAATATGTCTATAATTTCCAACAATATTATAATAACTAAAAAAGATGCTTTATCTAATGTTCTTTTATTATTCATCATCTAAATAGTAAAATCACTCTTTCTTAAATTGGATTTCAAGTCTTATTTCTATTTCAATCCTATTTCATACTTTAAATTTAGATTATTGTAAAGCCAGAGTTCCAGTATTCATTTTAGAGTCCACATTTAATGCAATTTATTCAGTCTCTTAAGTTAATCTATAAATCTCTTCTATAATTAAATCATTCTCGAATAGGTTTCCTTTAGATTATCTGTTTTCTTTTATTTTATCGATAATTCATTAAAACTCTCTTCAATCACATCCTATTCTTAATTATCTAAAAAAATAATTAAAATTAAAACTAAAAATAACTCTTTTAATTCATATAAATTAATAAATGTGTTATATTTGTTTTAATTTTAATAATAAAAGTTCAGATTATCAAGAATATTTTACAAATTATTTATTATATTAAATAATCTTAATTTAATAATGTAGTTGATAAAAATATAATTAATAACATTTAAAAAAGTTGTTTATTTTGTAATAACTTTAATAATAATAGTTAAAATTTTCAATAATAATAGACAAATTATAGTTTTTATTAAACAATATTATTATATTTATTTATTTTAATAAATTATGATATTGTATATTTATTTAAATAATATTTATCAATTTAAAATATAATTTATTTTTGGTTTAAATTTAATAACATTTGTAAATATCAAGAATAACATAATGTATTTACTTATTAATCGTTTCTAAATAAACACTTAAGATTCAAATTACACAACTTATCAAATAATTTGATTTCTATTTTAAATTTGAATTGTAAATTTTTAAATTATTAATTTAAATTTGCTTAATTTAGAAATATTATCATTTTCATTAAATATGTAAAATTTTTATTCTATCTTTTTTTATCCAATATTAATCTTTTAAAGTTATAATAATAATTA